AGGCGCCAGGCCCGCCTCTGCTTGGGTTTGGAAAGGAAGGCGGGAGACTCCCCCGCCCGCTGCCGCCCCCTTGATGCCTCCCCCTCACTCACACCCTGCCCTTCGTCCTGGCTTTCGGCCTACCTGCGAAGGGAGGCTGGGGATGGACGAGGTGGCCCCGGCGGGCCCCCGGGCTCCACTGTCACTCACCTAGGGTGGGCTTTTCTGACATGGAGGCGGAGGGGATGAAGGTCGGGTGGGGACGGGGCCGCGTGACAACTTTGGGGAAGTCCGTGTAGCCCGACCGCGTGCAGAGCTCGGCGAAGTCGGTCTCGAGGACCCCCGAACACTGGTACTCCTCTGCGGGCGAGCGGGAGCGTGGGAGAGGGAATGTGCCACGTCCGCGCCCCAGCCGGCGGCTGCCAGCAGAGGGCAGCAGAGGCCGGAGACGCCCCGCCGGCCCGGCGCCACCCAGGTTCCCACGCTGGCCCGCGCGGGTTCGCCCAGGCCCTGCTCTGAGACCGGTATCTTTTTTTCTCTTTGCTTTCTTTGATTTCTTTGTTACTACTATGAAGATGTGGGGTACAATTCAGGGTTAGGTATACAAACGTTGATTATGCAGTCGACGTATTGAGGTGTGCCCCGCCCTCCCCTAGCAGTTTCCCTCAACTGCCAATCCCAACCCCCTCCCCTGCCAGTTTCCCACTACTGCCAGGCCCTTTCTTATAATATTATAATTGTTCAAGATCCGCTTATGAGTGAGAACTTATGAGACCGACATCTTTAAAAAGACTTTTTCTTTTTTCCCCCTAAGAGCTGAGGTCTCGCTTTATTGCCCATGATGGTCTCGAACTCCAGACCTCAAATGACCCTGCTGTCTCGGCCTTCCAAAGTGCTGGGATTCCGCCGAGCTCGGTAGCTCAGCCTGTAATTCCACGCCTTGGGAGGCTGAGGTGAGTGGATTGCCTGTGCCCGCGGGTTCGAGACCTGCCTGAGCAACTTGGCGAGACCTCATCTCTACAATAAATCAAAAAATTAGCCAGGTGTGGTAGCATGCGCCTGTAGTTCCAGCTACTTGGAAGGCTGAGGTGGAGGGATCGCCAGAGCCCAGCAGGTCGAGGCTACAGTGGCCAGGAGCGGCCACTGTACTCCAGTCTGGGTGACAGAGTGAGACTCCAACTCAAAAAAAAAAAAAAATCAAAGTGCTGGGATTCCGGGAGTGGTGGCCCAGGCCTGTAGTACCAGCTTCCCGGAAGATGAGGCAGAAAGATCGCCTCAACCCAGGAACTCAAGGCTGTGGTAGCTGTGATCCTGTCACTACACACCAGCCTGGGTGACAGAGTGAGACCCCAACTAAAAAAAAAAAAAAAAATCACTAGAGAGCCTGTTGAAAAAATTTCCTAAGCCCCATCCCCAGAGATTCTGACTCTAGGTTGGGCAGGGCAGGACCCAGGGATCTGCCTTTCTAGTAAATTCACAGAGGATGCCAAGGACAAGCCCTGGAGAAGCACAACTCTAAACAACGCCGAACCCTAGAACTGCCCGCCATGGTGACATGCACTCTCTGCATGTCCTTATTCCCATTTTCCCCAACTCCTGGCTAGCATCACACCACCCCCCACCCTGTGACCTACCTGCGGCCTGGTCCTGACCCCTGCTCCATCACACTCCCTCCCTACATGGCTTTCATTCCCAGGGTGGGATTATGCCAGAACATCAGCAGCCTCCAAGTCACACCTCCACCCCTAACCTCTCTCCTCACTCCAGACCCATGTGTCCGGCCTCCCAGCTGGCCTCACCTTTGGAGGTCCTCCTGACCTGCTCCTCCTTCAAGCCTCCCCGTCTCCAAGAATGACATCTCCAGCCACCCAGAAGCCTGAAAAGCATTCTCACCATGTCCCTCCCTCCCCACTCTCTCCAATCCTTCTCAACTTTCATTACTTCTGGCTCCAGAGTTTCTCCATGAAGCCTAACCCATCCGCCCCCTCCACCCTCACTACCCTGTTCCAACTACCACTGGCCCTAGCCTAGGCTGTAGGAATCGCCCTGTAACTCTTCTCTCTGTCTGTGTCTCTCTCCTTTCCACTACGTTTTCCATACAGCGGCCACAGTGGTGCACACGCCTAGAGCAGATTCTATACTGTCTTATTTTCTGCAAGATGTGCTTTCTCCAGTGCTCATAATTCCTTCCCCCACCCACCAGCACTGACAAGGAAATAGCACCTGGCCAAGACTAAACAGAGGCTTTCCCCAAATTGTTTTGCCTCAATTCCAGGGGACAGCAAGTTCCTGTCCCTCTGTGGTGGCAACACTGGCAGATGTGTACCAAGAAACCTTGGGCTTAATTTGTTTCTGCTGGGTCCTACTTGCAACAAAAGTGCCACACCCCTACTTATGCGATTCTAATCATTTTCTTTTCTCAGAGACTGTAAATACCATGAGGGCAGGACTGTGTCCATCTTGTCCTCCTCTGTATCATACTTGGCCACATAGTAGGCACTCAAAAAGGAACTGCTGAATAAATGAATGAACATCTATCAAACCCTGCTCAAAGGCACCTCCTGGCATCCTGGCTCTGTCCTCCCGTCACTCCCTGGGCCTTCCTCTCTCATACATCTGTTTTGTTTTTTGTTGTTGTTGTTGTTTTGAGTTAGAGTCTCACTCTGTCACCCAGGCTGCAGTGCAGTGGCAGGATCATGGTTCACTGCAGGCTTGAACTCCTGGCTCAAGTGATCCTCCCACCCTGGCCTCCCAAAGTGCTGGGATTACCCGTGTGAGCCACCAAGCTGGCCTAGCATGGGGTTCTTTAAGATCAAGTTCAATGCAAACGTCTACCAAGCCGAGACTCAGAAACTCAATCTGGCTGAGTTCAGCCATAGCCAGGAGCAGTGAGCCAAGGGTGGGAAGGCCAGAGACGTGGCCTCGAGGCCCATGCCCGGACCCACTGCCAACGTACCAGGGTTTTTGGGCTCCTCCTCGCCTACTGGCGGCAGGGCGGTCCCTGGCTTCTCCTTGGCCGCCCGGTCTCCCTTTTTGGTCACCGCTCCCGACGACTTCTGGGTGCCTGGACGCGGGGCTCTGGGTGAAGCCCCCGATGAGCTTGGCTCGCTCGACATGCCAGTGCTGTCCGCAGCGCCTCTGGGACTCTGCGGGACTCACTCTGCGGAGGGCACTGAATCCAAGTCTCTGTTTCGCGTCCACCGACGGGATCCGACAGGCCGCGGCGGCATCGCCTACGCGTCCTTCTCCGGGACAACCGCGCGTGGTGGGCGGGCCTGTGGGAGAGGGGCAACCGCAGGGCGCACGCGGGGCCGACAGGGGGCACCGCAGGGTCAGAGCAGGCGATGGGATTGCCCAGCGTGCGGCGCCGACCGGGCCGGGCGCGGGGGCGGGGGGAGCTCGAGCAAGAGAAAAGAGCGGAGAGGGCGGGGCGAG